AAATATGTTTCGAAACAAAATTAGTAGAAACGTAGATGCTACTTATGGTAATGTACTATTGTATGTTAAAATGAAAATTAAAAAGTTTCATGCACTCCTGTTTTTAGCATAATTAAGATTATCAAATTTTTGTATTTATGGTTTTAAACATTTTAGAAATAGAATTGTTTAATATTTTCGTGAATTAGTTTATTTTTAATATAAAAAATAGTGAGAGATAATTAAAATAAGATAATTATTTAAATAGCAGGAGTTGCCATTTCTTCAATAATTTTCCTTATCGAACCGCTGGAACAGTACTGGAACGCTTCTGCTAACTGTTCTTCTGTTCCTTATCAATCCAGCTGGAACAGAATTGGAACTGATCTGGAACGAATTGCCAACCGTTCCTCCCCATTCCTTATCGATCCAGCTGGAACGGAATCGGAACTGGTCTGGAACGATTCGCCAACTGTTCCTCCCCACTCCTTATCGATCCAGCTGGAACGGAATTGGAACTGGTCTGGAACGATTCGCCAACTGTTCCTCCCCACTCCTTATCGATCCAGCTGGAACGGAATTGGAAATGGTTTGGAATGATTCGCCAACTGTTCCTCCGTTCCTTATCGAACCGGCCCCCACTCCTTATCGAACCGGCATCCCCACTCCTTACCAAAGCGGCGGTATCGATAATTTTTAGTCGTTGGAACTGGAACCTAATCTCACTGTGGAACAGTTCCGTTCTGTTCCACAGTGAGATTAGGTTCCCGTTCCCGATCCAGTTTCATTGACCCATCCCTAGCGCTAGGTGAGATGTGGTGAGTCTGGGCTAGTGGGGGTAGACTTCCACTACATGAGCCTATTATCAACGAGCGCTATCTCTAGACTGCCTTCGGCCGTATTTTGATGTCTTAATCCCTAAGACCGGGTAATACTGGCAGGCTGATGCATATAAATAAGCGATAATATATCACAAAAGAAACCTAAATATAAAAACAATGTACACCAAAATACATTTTGGGATAATATCCCTCGGCCTATTACAAAAAAAATAATAAACAATCGTTCAATTATTAACATTTAAAAAGGGTTAGTGGTGAGAAAAAATAATAAAAATATGAGCCTATGTGGCGTTAACAATATATATATATAAACATTAATCAACAATAATAATTAATATATATGATAATTTTAACCGACTAAAGTTCCCCAGTGGGCAGGCAGAGCTGAGGTGTCTGAATCGGTATAGGGTTTGTAATGGGCCAGTTCTCAGGGCCGCTACAAACCCTAGACGAGTACAGACAGGGTGTCTGAATCCTTATAAGATTTGCAAATATGGCACCAGGTTGTAAGAAATGCCATTCAATCTTGAACCAAAAGTTCTGCTTTCTCTTTGAGCAGATCCAGGTCCCGAATCAAGTCACTGAGTTCAGCTTGAGTAAGCAAGTGGAGTTTTCGTTCTTCTTGTTCGAACGAAAAATCAGAATCATCTGATGGGGTTTCTCCTAGGAGATTTTCCTCTTCCTTATCTTCGTCCTCAATCAAGTCATAGTGTTCAGGAAGCCTTGGAACAGGCAATTCATCCCCATGTGGTATAGAAGGAATGCCTGGGTACTTCACTTCAGATTCCTTTTTTCGAGACATTCCAAGAAGAAGAGGAGGGATCATGCAAAAGTAGCAGTTGTCAGTGTGTTCCCACACCATGGGAACAGCAAAACGCATCATACAACAGCAAAACGCCCACAGTTTATCTTGGTCACCAACCTTCATCCCAAAATACTCGTGGTATGCTGTCTTGATCATCTGGGTGATAGGACGGTTTTGACTTGCAAAGGTTACTTCCCCACAAATGTAACAAAAGTTGTCAGGAGCATTCACAAAATTTCTGGAAATTGTAACTTCACCAAAAATACTGGGTTATCACAACAAAATCATTGAAAGAATGCATGAAGCAAGAAAAATCACATCAAGAGTAACTTGAAATGTAAACACTGCATACAACTGTCAGCAAAATGGTTCTGTGATTCACAGCAAGTTGTTTCCCGCAATCCACAGACAGAATTTAATCCTACTAACCCAGGAGCAGGAAATTTCCCTATATTATGCAATAAGTAACTATATCTTCGAAACTAAAGCTAATGGACGATTTTTATGTGGAAATTCGAATTTCTCACACCAAAAACCATGGAGGCTGTTTTCAAGTGAGATACAATGGCAATGTATAGAAGTGTAATCATTCCGCCTTGAATAAATCGACTAACAAGAGTCGTTAAAGTTACTATTATTTTTAAGCTTCAATCAGTATATCTTATTACCATAAAACTTTAATAATAAAAAGTATTCAAAGCGGATATACATATTTAGAATTTACAAATTCAGTTTTTTACATTAAAATATTAAGAAATAAAAGTACAACTTTTAGGTCCAATGAGTGAGCTTGTAAAAGCACATATCGCGCTGGCACATAAAAGCACAAGTTGGCAAATTTGAAAAATTAGCCTGCACAATAATGGTTCATGACTTTATATGAAAAAAAAAAAAACAACAAAACAGAATAACTTTTGTTCACAGCAAAGACTGTAGAAAAGTAATAACTCAATTGTTAGTAGAACTAGTGATGTTATGATGGCTACACTGCCTCAAAAAAGTTTCTATACAGTTAATTTTTCTTTGACATTGCTAATAATCTATTTATTATATAATTTTTATTAATCAGGAAGGTTAGTAGAGGCAAAGGTGTACCAACATGGCAACAAGTTCATGCTGGCTCACCAATCCCAAGGCAGGAAGAGATGAAGTTTTTATAAAAGAGGAAGTTTCTTTATTTTTGGCAATAAAAACTTCCATGTATACAAACAATTGGTTTATTTGTTAAATTACATGTCAAGTTGATGTTTCGGGAAAATTATTCCCATCTTCAAAACTTAAATTCTATACTTTCATAGCAATTTATGGCCAAAAAAGAGTTAATTAAAAAAGAATGTATGTTACAATACATGTTAATGTAGTTTTGCTACATAAAATGTTATAATTACCTAATGCCTTGTGTGCTCCTTTGCCATAATTTGAAATTTATGTGTTATAAAAATAATAAAAATATACTGTATGGAGCATAAACATTCCTAGGACCAATAATTGGCTGTCTGCTATGGAGGATCTCATTATTTACTCTTTTACTATTGATATTTAATGACTGTTTGTTACATAGCTGCATTCCAGTTTTATTATACTTTAATTTTATTTAAAATATATGTATAGTGTGTTCCTAAATGTTTAGTGTCTATTTAGTAATTCACTGTTGTTCTATTGTTTTTTGTGATTTGGATGGCTTGGAGTAATTTTAGATTGTTGTTTTTTGGTTCTGTGCATATTATTTGTGGTTTATTGAAATTTAATTTGTGTTGTAATTTTATGCTATGGTATGCTAAAGCTGTGGAGTTTGTTTTTTTTTTTTTTTGTATTTTTGCAATTGGAAATGTGCTGTGAAATTTTGGTTTTTAGGTGGTTAGATGTTTCACCAATGTAAATTTTGGGAAAATTTTGACAGTTCAATTTTTAAATTACATTTTTCTTTTCTAATGAATCTATTTTATCTTTTGTGTTGGTGATGTATTTGCTTAATTTTTTTTTTATTGTATTGTCCAAGTTTGATTTCTGGTAAGACATAATTTTTAAACACGTAAGTTCAAGTATGTCTGTCATTTTGTAGCAGGTGTTAAAGTTCATCTTTTTTGTTTATGAAATGTCTTGACTGTTCTCGTGTGTTAAATTTGTTTTTTCAAAGAATTAGATAATGAATTGTTGTGTTGGTTTCTTTGTTGTGCTTTTGTCTTTTGGTGTTCAGTGTTTTTCTTATTATAAGTAAAAAGTCATATTTATATTTTTCGATTAACAGGGGTTTTTCTTCTATTTTTGACAATTGTGTTATGATGAGTTTGTTTAAAAAATTCCATTTAGATTCGCTGACATTGTATTTCCCATCCTGATTACCCATAGTTGTTTATAAAAATCTTTATTGTATTTAAAATAGTTATATTTATTACATTAATTGACCCCTTCAATGAAAATTATTTTATCTTTAATTTTAGTTTCACTTTTTATGCTATCCCAATTGTCATCTATAATTTCATATAAGCATTCACCTAATGGGATATTAGTAAAAAGTGATTCAGCATCAAAGCTTATAATTTCTATATCTTTTATACTTTGCTGGCTATTTTTAATTATTTCTTTCAATTTCACAGCGTTTTTTGCATCAAAATCATTGTTATTACTAAGAGCATTATGGAATAGATTTATGAATTTTGAGAGCTTCAGTTGGTCCATCTATATTATTTATTATGGGTCTCAAACTATAGAAAAAAGAAGAAAAGGAGAAAGTTTCTGAGATTTTGTTATCTCCTCAGATGTTTGCAAATTCAACTTTTTTGTCCCATATGGCAGGTGTCATATCTGGAGAAAAGACAGAGAAGCACTTATTTCAAAGAATTAACTTTCAAGTCTGGAGGTGGAAGTGTAATAGTATAGGGGCGTATGAGTGCTTTAGGAGTTGGCAATCTTGTTTTAATTTATAGAATTATGGATCAGCGTGTATTCCTAAACATTCTTAGGAACAATTTAAAAAGTTCTTCTGAAAAACTTGGACTTATTTATTTTTCAACAGGATAATGATCCTAAGCACACCGCCAAGAAAGTAAAACAATGGTTAATCGACAATGTCCCAAAACAGTTGCACACTCTTCCCCAATCACCAGGCATGAACCCAATACATTTGTGGGATGAATTAGGATGGTGCGTGAAAAATCATGGTGTTTGACTTGAAGAAGATCTCAAAGTAGCTCTATTGGCAAAATGGGATTCAATTAGCATAATGATGATTTGAAGTAGACTGAATCTTACCTTAACTAAACCTTGAATGTAGTGTACAGATAATAAATCTGAGAAAAATAATGACATTAAATAGAAATGGAATTAAGATATTATAGATGTATGGAAACTTTTTTGACCTTCAGATTAAAGTTTTATTGCTTCCTGCTATGGGATTCGTGATTCAGCATGAACTTGTTATCATGTTGGTACACCTTTGCCTCTACCACATCTCCTGACTGATAAAAATAATATAATAGATTGATTAATAGCAATGTTAAAGAAAAACTAACTTTATGGAAACTTTTTTGAGGCAGTGTATCTCATCATTTTTGTTTAGTTAACAAGTTTATTAGTTTATAAAAAAATCACTAACAAAGGAATTTTCGTCAAACTTTGGAAATTGAAGTTTTAAAAGCAAATCTGACAACCAAAAGATGTTCCACTAAAATATGCGACATATCCTTATACCCCATTGCACTGATTTACTAAAATAATTATCTGTAGTTATTTCATTACAAAAACAAGATATTTATTAATGAAATGAATTTATTGACAACAGCCAATACTGCCCTCGAAATAAATTTAAAATCAGAGGTAGACCTTCAATCCATATAATAATATTTTGTCAATTTTCTTCCATTGTAAAGTTAATTTCTATTCAAAATATTACAAGAATCCATAACAATTTTTTATGACCGCCACCCCAGACCATCTTCTTACTCAATAATAAACCACGGTCAACCATTAAGTATTCAAGAACTCATAAATTTGTAGAAGTTGGGTATATGCACTTTATTGGGACATAAAGGTTAACATTTTATAGTACAGACATAACTTAGCCTTAATAAAAAGAATATAAGACAAAATATCATATATAAATGAGATTACAATTCTGAAAAACTAAATATTTCTTTCCTTGAAATAAAAATGAAAATCATTAAATTTAGGCCTAATAATTTGAACTTGGATGTTTAACATAAAAGGAGTTCATTGTCACAACAAACATTTAAAAAAAAAAAAAAAAAAGCAACAATGGTTGGAAGCAACAGAGAGAGAGCAGTCACTATGGCCACTGATAGCAGCTACAGCGGACAATGCCAGAATTCTACCTTTAAATAGACACTTATTAATTTATCAGGTCATAATAATTAAGTGACAGTTGATTTTATTTATCTTAAATGTTTTCGAAATATGTTTAGGATGGCAGCCTCTATAAGGTAAAGCTGGAAGAGAAAGAAAAAATGTTGTTTTTCAGTTTATGAAAAATTAATAAATTTATCAATATCATTGAATATGAAGGATCCAGTGAATACAATGGATACACAAGAAATCCATAGGCCAGATTATACACTTTTTGAAAATTACAAGTTCTTCTGTGTCCATTTTTACAGACCAATATACTACCTTCTATAAGCCTAAAACCAACAAAATAATTAGTAATGAAAATAAAAATAAAAATATGTTTAAACAAACCAGTTTAGCGGCCAGCTGAATAGAATGAGTAGTTGAAATAAGATGAACAGGAGAAGAAGTAAAGACAGGCCGCCTTGGTTGAGGCAGATCTTGCTGTTTAAGATCATCATAAGTAATATTTGAATTAAATTCTTGAACTAAATCAGGGTGAAAAGAACCAACTTGCACTCCTTTTCCTTTCCCCCCTTCACTTAAGTCATCTAAAACCTAAACAATCAAAACAATATCTCATATTAGCCTGTTGTCAACAACCAATCATTCAAGAGTGTATACAAATATCCTAACCATCAATAACACAGAAATTAAAACAAATATATAATGTTAAATATGTGTTTAATAATGATCAAAATTTAGTTGCTAAACAAATTGCTTCCGTTTAATTGTAAAAATTGAAATATTTTAAAATTAATGAATTAGTGCTATTCATTAAAATATTAGATATATAAAGAAAGAAAAGTAAATATTATTCTGGACATTTAGTCCCCTAAGAATGGTTATAATGAACAATGAAGTGGCTTTTGTCTAGCTTTAGAAAACAATTAAGAATAAATTAAGTTACATAATTATCCAACACTAAAATTAAAATGAAGAAAAAGTATATATATATATATATATATATATATATAAACAAATAAAGTTTATAATATTGAGGAAAAAATATTTTAACCCTTATCCATTTTGACGTTACAAGCAATTTTGCCCATTTTCAAGACGAAAATTATATCTATAATATAAATGAAAATTATTATAAATATATATTTAAAACAATAAATAAACACATATAAAACAATAAAGTAGAAATTTAAAAATATCACATTAATGAATTATACCTTTAATTACAATATGATTATATAATCCATCAAAACACATTTTATACCATTATTAAAAATATGTTTCTTTAAAATTAACTTGTCATATTATAAAACTCATAACATTCTTTTTGAAAAGTCAAATCTAAAAGAAAACAATTTAAAAGAAAAAACTAAATAAAAAATATTAGAAATCAGAAAAGGCCAAAATTACACTATATTACATTTAAAAAAAGCATGTTTATTACTGTTTATTATATAATTTACCTATGGATACTCAAAAATAAAATTAATATGAAAATTATTCTAATGTTAAAACATTTTTGTCTTATTTAATAAAAAGCTTAATGTCCACTGCGAGCTGTGGGCTTACATATTATTACGCTCATTGGAATTTATTTGTTATATCCAAATAATGTTGCCCTATTCATTTAATATTTGTTTTAGAATTAAAATTTTTAATATTTTTAGTTAAATAAATTGATTCCAAAAATGTCCTTATATATTTATCCTCAGCCCTATTTAAAATTTTTATTTTCTCATAATTAAAAATATAATTATTCATAATATTATCCCCCTTGCTGAAGCTGCCGCATTGATATTTTTTGGGTTTTTGATATTTATTTTATGCTGATTAATTCAATTTATGTAATTTTTGAGATGTTTCCCCAATATAAAATTTATTTGTGCATTACTTTTAATATATTTTACAAATTACATTTTGTTTATTTTCTCCTTCATGTTTGTTATACATTTGTTTAATTTGTTATTATTATATAAACCATATTTTATATTATTATGTTTATATTTTGTTAATTTATTAGTTATCTCTGGTATATATTTTAACTTAAAATAACTACTCATTTGCATCATGTTTTCTGTCTCATTTTATCTTTATCTCCACTATTTTCATTGTCATTTTTGATGGTTTTAAAATAATCAGTTATCAAACCTCTTCTTTTTTTTTGTTTTTTAGTTATGACAATTGTTTATTATTAATATAGCATTTTTTAATTACTTTCTCACTAAGACATTTATTACTTTTATTCTTAGCATTATTTATCTCTTAATAACTTTCGTACCAAGCCTTTTTATATATTTGTATGGGTAAAAATTATCTAAAATTTTGAAAATTTCAGTTTTTATTTCTTTTAAATATTTTTGGTACTTTTCAAGTAGCCGGTCGGGATCGATTGCTATATACCAATGTTTGTACCCTGAACACTGATAATTCTGATAAGGCACTGATAATCTCTATCTTCGTATCCATATTTATTGTATTATATTCATATTATTGAAATTGTAAATAAAAACAAATGTAATAATAAAAAAATACTTTTATTTTACAACATAACTCAACATATATATGAAATATACGAAAACAAATGTAATAATAACAAAACAGTTTGATTTGAAATTGAAATTGACAATAGGAAATATAATAATTCCAACAACATTATGAAAACACTTTCATTTTACAACATATATATGAAATAGACAAAAATAAATGTAATAATAAAAAAAAATGAAATAATAAAAAAATACTTAAACAACATATGTGCATGTAAAAGAAACAATATAAACATCATAAACAACTTTCCTCAGTCAGAATAAATGGCGCTTCCCTCTTGTATATTGTTTTTAATACATTGTAAAAACGTTATTGCCTTTCTGTCATTTATTTTGACGACAAAACGCTGGTCTGTTTCTCGGTAAACTCTGCCAAACATCCATTGTTCAGGTAGAACTCCCCCTCTTTTAGAAAAAATACTCTCGTCTATTTCGACGACTTTGCCAGACCCTATAATTTTTTTTTACTTGACCTGTATAACATGTTATGTGCACAAACCTCTCTTAAAAATTTGTCCACATTATCATAGTTGTCTCAGATAGTTTCAGCTGTTCTTTGCACCACTGTATCATTGTTAAATTATGGGACCAACCATAAATTAATTTTAAAGCCGTTAAAAAGAAATCCTCAACCCCTCTAACCACGTTCCTTTCCTTATAGAAACGTTTTTGTTACAAGTGGTACAAAAGCATCTCCATTTCGTCTTCCTGTCTAACTTCATTTGATGACTTTCTTCACACAATTTCACGTTTGGAATTATCCCGGCATTTTGAAAATATTAGATAGCCTCTTCTTTTAAAGACGGCAATTCCCACAATGTAATAACATCCATAATTTGAAGAAAATCACACAAATGGAACAAAAATAAACAATGGAATAACTAACAGCTTACAAAAGATAAGAAGGGAGGTTATGTGATGTAACATTAGATAACAAGGGAGGTTTCGTCCTGACCGTCTACTATACAAATACCATATTTCTCATCTGTTAATGTTATAGATTTTTTAATTATGTTTTTGCTGTATTTTTAATTTGATGGTTTGGATGATTTGAATAATAATTAAGAAGTATATCGTATTATTTTCTGTTTTTGTCCATATTGTCTCTATTTTATTTTTATCTAATATGATATTTATATCAAGAATTCTTCTTTTTTTATTAATAGGTGTTTAGCAGTAAATATTGGTTTTTTATGCACATTATTCAATAAATTAAATAATTCCTCATCTTGCTTATCTTTTGTGATAAATAATAAATCGTCTATATATTTCGTAATTAATATTGTTTTTTCTACCATCTTAGCAACTTGCTAATTAATGATTTTATTGATATAACATCCAATAAGTACCACAATCTACCTTCCATTGCGAGACCACTTATCATTAAATTTAAAATAATTATTTGTGATGCATAATTTTATGCCTTCTATATACACCATTTTATTCTTGATATTCATGTGTTTATTTATAAGATTCCTTCTTCTATAATCTTGATGACTTCATCAATAGACACATTTGTGAAAAGTTCTTTTACATCAAAACTACTTATATTATACTGAATGTTTTTGTCTAATCTCAAACTTCTTAAACTATCTTTTACTTCTTTTGCATTAATTACATCATAACTTTTTAACTCATTTAAACAATCTAATGTTGGTTTAAACAATTTTCCAAGTTTATCTGTTGGTCCATCTATATTATTTATTATTGGTTCGAGATCTTTATCAGGTTTGTGTAAGTTTATTAAAACATGTGTTCTTGGATCAGTATATTTGTTAGCAGATAATTTTATTTTTGTATTTGTTTTCAATCATTTTTAATTTTTATAACTTTTCAATATTATATTAATATTAATTTTTTTGGCTAGGTCAATACCCGGATTATTTCTAACTTTTCGGTAAATACTTTTATTACCTAATAACTGGTTCATTTTTTCAGTGTAATCGTTTCTATATATTATTGTTAATTGTTTTATTATGTCTCATTTAATTATTATAATTTCTATATTATTATCTAAGAAAGTTTTAAGGCTCTTCAAATCATCATTAATTTTGATCACTTTATAAATACATGCACTCGTGATCTCCAGGGTAGATTCATTGTTTCGCTTCCATTCTGTTCTGACCAGCCGATCAGCCTTGATTTCACTAAAGAGATAGTTATGCGCATATTTAGAAATCTGGAAAATATATTTATGAGGAATCTGGAGTTTAAGTCTGCCTATGCTGCACAGATGGACGAATATATAAAACTGGATCATGTCCGCCTCGCCAAGAGCCCTTCTCCATACGTCATGACCCATCATGGAGTAGTCATTAAAGATTCTTCTACGACAAAACCTGGAGTTGTATTTAACAGTTCGGAGTCTACGCACCACCCACTTCCCTCTGTTATGGAAACACTCCACAAACAATTATCCTTTTCCCAAAACCAGGCAAACCTCCCAATAGCTCAACATCCTATAGACCAATTAGCCTACTCCCAATCCTTTCAAAAATTTTTGAAAAGATCCTTTTGAAACGAATCCTAGCCATTATAGAATCCCAAAATATCCCTTCCCATCAGTTTGGTTTTCGCTCTCAACATTCTACTGTTCAACAAGGACTCCGAGTTGTTGATCATATTTCCTCAGCCCTAGAAAACAAGGAATACTGTTCGGGTGCCTTTCTGGACATTGCACAGGCATTTGACCGGGTATGGCACTCCGGACTGCTCTCCAAGCTTAAAATCCATTTACCTCAGTCCTTGTACCTAGTCCTCCGATCCTACCTCTCTGACCGCTCCTTTCGAGTTCGCTGTGGAACAGAATTTTCCAATATCTACTCCGTTAAAGCCGGTGTTCCCCAAGGCAGCGTCTTGGGTCCCGTGCTTTACATCCTCTTTACTGCTGACATCCCTGTTCATCCCGATACTTTTCTTGCAACATTCGCTGACGACACCGCAATCTTATCATCCAACTCTGATCCCGAAATAGCATCCTTAAATCTCCAAAGTCACCTCACCTTGATTGAGCACTGGTGTAATAACTGGCGCATTAAAGTTAATGAA